CTTAGCGTGAAACTTTTGGGCTTTTCCACTGCATGGTACGGCACAGTTCGGTACGGCACGCTGTGCGTTACGTTCATATTCTGGTCCATCTGCTTACATGTAGCCTATTAATATAGCCTAAATGCCCAATAAGGTGTGAGGTAAAGGTCTTTTATTGTACTGTGTTTTGTCCATTGAGTTACTTTAAGTGTCCTGACCGCAGGGTGATCAATCCTGGACAATGACGTATTGAGGGAATCCCCAATTCTGCAGCACAGCGCCGAGATATAAAGTTAAGGAAACTAAAAAACAGAGAGAAATATATGTCTACTACTTCAGATTGAACGTTTGATCTGTACATCAGCATCGGGGAATAACATTATAATCTCGTTCACGGTAGAGAAAGCTGCATGTACAAAAGTAACCGTGAAGACTTCAATGTAAAAACGAATCGCTTTTCTATCCTCGGTACTTCCAGTAATCGCTTGATTCCGGTTCTGGCTTGATTGACAGGTGTCTCGTCCAATCAGCGACAAGTATGCCATTCTCAAAATATACCTACCTTTTCCGTTTTGAATGAATTGTCGTTGTGTTTTCTGAATTGTCGTTGTGTTTTCTGAATTGTTATTTTGTTTTCTGAATTGTTATTTTGTTTTCTGAATTGTCGTTGTGTTTTCTGAATTGTCGTTGTGTTTTCTGAATTGTAATTTTGTTTTCTGAATTGTTGTTGTGTTTTCTGAATTGTCGTTGTGTTTTCTGAATTGTCGTTGTGTTTTCTGTATTGTCGTTGTGTTTTCTGAATTGTTATTTTGTTTTCTGAATTGTTGTTGTGTTTTCTGAATTGTCGTTGTGTTTTCTGAATTGTTATTTTGTTTTCTGAATTGTAATTTGTTTTGCACCTCTCGGCCACCGTACAAACTCCTCTCACAAAAACCCACGAGGTCAATATGCGTTGATTTCACTTTTATACAGAATGATGTGCGATTGTGTGGTCTGTTTTCGACCGTGTCAATCAAACGCTGATTCGGCGGATCACACCTGATGAAACACTTGTGAAACACTTCGAGGCTTCGTTTGGCCATAGTCACGTGACATGGGTGTTTTGAATCACGCTTCGAATCAGTGTTTCGAAACATCTGCGCTTCGGGATCTCGCAAAGCTTCGGAACTATGGCAAGCCGTTTTAACTTTTATTCATTTCCAGGATATGTATTGTTGATATCAAGAATTCAATTGTTGATATCAACAATTAAATTTTTTTATATCAACAATGTAATTCTTGATATCAACAATTGAATTCTTGATATCAACAATTGCGTTCTTGATATCAACAATTGAATTCTTGATATCAACAATTTTATTGTTGATATCAACAATTTAATTCTTGATATCAACAATTCAATTGTTGATATCAAGAATGCAATTGTTGATATCAAGAATTACATTTTTGATATCAAGAATGCAATTCTTGATATCAAAAATGTAATTGTTGATATCAAGAATTACATTGTTGATATCTGTAATTGTATTTTCACTAGTGAAATGTCACCATAGGCTGCCATTCAAAATCAATTGTTGATATCAACAATTACATTTTGAAATGTCTATTCTTGATATCAACAATTGAATTGCTAATAGTAAAATTTTTCAATTTTTGATATCTGAAAATGTATTTCTGATATCAATATTATTTCAGATATCTAAAATGTCTTTCTTACTAGTAACAATCACATTCATGATATCAGAAATTAACATTGTCACTAGTGAAAATGTAATTATTGATATCAAAAATGAACATTGTTACTAGTAGCAATTCAATTGTTGATATCAAGAATAGACATTTCAACTAGTAACAATTGAATTATTGATATCAAAAATAAAGGTTTTTACTAGTAACAATTGTATTTCTGATATGTGAAATTGGAATTTCAACTAGTAAGAAATCAATTCTTGATATCAACAATTGATTTTGAATGGCAGCCTATGGTGACATTTCACTAGTGAAAATACAATTATAGATATCAAGAATTATAGTTTTTACTAGTTGAAATTAAATTGTTGATATCAAGAATGATCATTTTAACTAGTGAAAATTGTATTGTGGATATCAAGAATTAGCATTGTTACTAGTGGAAATGTAATTTCTGATATCAAAAATTCCTAGCCTGGTTCTACCAGACTCTCGTACATTTCATTTGTACAGAGAGTCTGGCCTCGCTCCATTGAGAAACGTTTACTTCCTTGTAGGCGGGTTCTCTGTTAAAGTTCAAAACTATTGGATCTGCCCAGCGTCACTCAGGATCTGCCATAGCCAATCGCTAACGTGTGGTCGTGACGTATGTCATGCGCCGAAACCGGCTGGAAACAACAAGTCCGAATTCCATATTCATAAATCTAAATATCTAAATGCTAAACCTCTCTTTCTTATATTTGTGAAAGAATTTTAAAAATACCTCTTTTCAATTAAGTTGTCTGAGAACAAAAAAAGCCTTAAAAACATTATCTGTTTGTAATTATTTTCCTTTTTTCAGTGTCATGTAATTCTCTTAACTTGTTCATGTTTATTTTATATTATCCCCCTACTGTTTTATTTTTGTTTTGTTTTTATTATTATTTTTTGTTTGTTTTTGTATTATGTTTTCTGTTATTACTTGTGTATTGTTTTAAACAATAAAAAAAAACAAGTCCGAATGATCAGAGGATTATGTTTAGAATAAGATGTCTGTCAACGAGAGCTGCATGTTTTGTTCATCGAATTTAAGAGTTCAAGGAACAATTCTAAATTCTAAATGTATATTTGACACTAAGGACAGTGATGTATTCAGTCAACTGTCGAAGCTGGGTGTAATCATTAACAATACGCCGCTGCGGTCGTTTCGGATCTGCCGCAAATGCTGTACAGTGATCATCGTGCACGCCGAGCTGCCCAGCACCAACTCCTAACCTTTCTGCCTCCCTCACTTGGTCCTCCATTAGTGCAACAAGAGGAGACGACAACAACTATCGGCTTTGCATCCTATCGTTCGCCTTAGCTAACTCATTCACCACTAGCGGAGTGAGCTGGAAAATTAAACTTTTCCCGAACCCCGTGGGGAGGAGGGCCACAACATCATGGCCACCAACAACACTTAGCAAACATTGATCTTGCTCCGGCTTTAACTTCTGTATATTCGGCAGTTTTGCAACAACGGACCGAATAGATTTTCTCACGTCTTTCTCCGCTGCCATTACTGAACTCCAACTCAAACTGACGCGCTACATCAACGTCATCGTTCTCAGCCACTCCCTGTGTTCGCTGATTGGACCGGTAAAAAAATTATTTCTGGAAACCAAAGTCTACAGCACAATCCCAGACGTAGTACTGAAGGAAAATAAAATTGAGCGGAAGTGCGTAGAAGGGCGGAGCCAGGCTAAATATTCCCATTGTTACTAGAAGAAATCTAATTCCCGATATCAATAACTATTATTTTAACTAGTGAAAATTGAATTGTTGATATCAACAATTCATATCTTGGAAATGAATAAAAGTTAAAACGGCTTGCCATACTATACGACTGTTTCACGTCAGCCATCCCTAGGAGCCTTAATGTAGTCTGTCTCTATCACTAGTGGGAGGCAGCAATGCACTAACAGTGATAGTCTGCCGGAAAGGAATAGAAGAAGAAGAAGAAGAAGAAGAAGAAGAAGAAGAAGAAGAAGAAGAAGAAGAAGAAGAAGAAGAAGGAAGAGAGTTGTAATTCACGTGGAATAAGTACGTACCAGCCATTTCTTTGATCTTTATTTGTTGTCTCTTGAAAAATACATTAAGGACATTAAAACCTGAAATAAAACTCCAGAAAGGCGGTACTAGTGGATGTGACTTTTATTTTGACAATGGAAATCCTGGGTTTAAACGTCTGCACCGTAGGTCTAAGGTCTGCACTCTACACGCAATAACGCGTCTTCGCGTTGTATCGTCTGTACACATTAGGTCTAAATAAATAGCTGTCTGTATGGCCTTCCATTCGTCTGAGGAAATATTTGTCTTTTCAGCCTTCCATTACATGTACATTTTCGTTGCGGAGTGATGACGTCACCACTGGCGCGTTCTCACCATAGACAGTAAGGTTCTCACTCAGTCAAAGAAGTCTTCTGAGGTGAGCTACTCACAGCGCTTTGTATATTAACACAATCATGACAAAAGTTTGTATAAGCAACTTTTTTGCTGTCCTTTCTGTCTTGTTTTCATTTGATTCTGCGCTATTTGTTTACCTTTTTCTGGGGTCTCTGCCTGCTTGAATAACATTACACATTTAGCGTAGCTGTCAATTCGACGGCTTCTTTGTGCGGTTTTTGTGTTTGTTTTTGTTTGTTTGTGTGTATGATTGTTTCGATGTTTGAAGTAGGAATGTTATTACTCTTGTACATTTGATGCATTATTAATGTTTTTCTCGTTTTAGGCTGTGAGGAATAATACTAGTGCAGTTTTATCGTCTTTTTCAGAATACTGATGCATATTATCTGATTATTTATAAAAATTATTTTTTCTTTATTTAATGTCAACAGCTTCTGTTTTCTCATTTGTTAGATCTCTTGAAAATTGACTTTAATCACTTTAATCTGTCCCTTAAAGTAATTCCATTGGTGGACGGGTCTGAGGCAAAGTGAACTCTTTTGAGATCTTAAAGATAAACCTCTCTTAACTTAATTAATTTTGTGAAAAATAAGTCACATCCACTAGTACCGTATATGGGGTGGTAAACATGTTTATATAAAGCATTAAACAAATAAATAACCAGCTAAGAAAAATATGAGAAGTTTAATAGTTGAGTCAAATATAAAACTATTTCATTTATTTTACATTTTGTTAAATTGTTAGTGGATGGTTAAACGTAACATAATGCTTAATGTGTAATTTAATAACTGATTTATTTTTGATTTTTGCAGATCTGATTCTCCCATTATACAGCAACTAGCGTTCAGTGAAGCTCCTCCCACAGGAATACACCAAAAGTCCTAAATGCTGGAATATTTTCATCATCTTACAAGTGAAGAAATAGAGTTGGGAACATGAATGATCCAGAACCCTGCAGAATAAAACATGAAGATACTGAAAATCTAATAGGTTGGTGTTTATTCTTGATTCTTCATTAATGACGCTGAAGAACCATAAGGTTATAAAACTTGAAGCAGTTCATCTGATTTAATGGTTGTTGTTAGAACAGTCATTAGAAGTGTGAAGGTTCTCATGCGCTCTGTTTCCAGTCCTGGAAAACACATGTAAAATGGCCTTGGAAAATCTTGTTGGTGTCCTGGAAAATTAACAATTAATGTCAGTTGCAGAAAGTAGTAGCCTATGTTTAGGGATGCTGAGTTTTGACATGTTAGAGAAGTATTTTGAACGGTGATGTTTACTCTTGAAACCTAGAACAGACCTGCAAGGTGAAAAGGGTGACATGTTTATGAAGTAAATAGTTGTACGGAGTCTGGGATCAGCATCGTCCCACAAGAGAAAATGTTTGTTTTTACAAACGAAGCATTCTGGTCCACTCAAATAAAGGGAAAAGACAACATTTGCTTCAAGTAAAAATAGATACAAATATTTATTGATACTAGGGCTGGGCACTGACATAAATTTCTCAATTGGATTCGATTTTGATTCATAAGCTTGCAATCCAATTTTGATTCAATATTGATTAATTTGGGGCCTATCAGGTACAGTGCATGGCAAATTTCCTCAAAGACAAAAATATCTCATCTAATGCAGTAAACTATACAGGCAACCACAGTTGGTACATCCTTATAGTATTAAAGGTTACAATTAAATTATTCGTAATTTATAAATTACATAAGGAAGTTTTTATAATAATGTTGTAATACATTTTTAATTCCATAATTATGATTCTACTAGTTTTTTAATATTAATATTTAAATGGTGGCTGTCATAAAATGGATTTGTTCAAATATACATTTCGTTCCAAGATTGTGTGTGATGCAACTTAACAGTTAACGTAGACTAACCATGTTCCGTACAACAACGATGTTCCGTACAGATTAACTTTAACCGCCGATCGCTGAATAAATACTTCTAGGTTATACACAAAAAGCATATCTGTGTCGTCTTCATTTATCCCTCTTTCATCCCCGATCAAAACAGAGACACTCCAGCTGTTTGTTCCAGTGATATTTCAGTAAGTTTGCCAGGTGCGCCCACTTCGCTTGAAAATGGACCGTGGGCGAGCTATACTTCAGACAGCGGCTTGGGTGGGGAGACAACTAGAGCAGCGAAAATGTACTTTTGAAATTCATTTATGCTTTTCCCAGTATTACAGTCTTTATTAAATGAATATTATGTTATCACAAATTGTTAAATATAGTACCCTTTTGTTGACTAAATGCTGTGAAATGGGATTTTTTTTCCCGATTGCGGCCGATGACCGTTTGGCGCCCCTCTCAGGCAGCAAAAAAGGCAGCACGTCTGTCAGCAGTGCAGTGATGATGTTTATATTCATAAAGGGTCAATTAAGTTAATATTAACATGAATTGTTACATGAATTGAATATTTTAACATTAAAATTGATCAGTTGATCAGTTAATTTTCCATTTTCGCCGTTGAAATCAGGTTATGCGCTCTGTACGGAACACCATTATAAGCCTGTACGGAACATAGTTAACGCTTATCATCTTCCGTACACAGGTGGAGGAGGTAGTTTTCCCCACTTTTCTCAAAAACGATTGGTCCAAAAGACATCAATCAAAGTGTGGACCAATCAATGGGTATTCCCCTGGAGAATGATCACACAAACATGCTAGTCTTGCTCTCAGAAACGGAGGAGTGGTCGCTGACGTGCGGTGATTGGCGGAAAGTGAGTCTACGGAACATGGTTAGTCTACGTTACCTGTTTTTCAGAAAGTAACGGCAGCCTAATATTCCTTCTGTTGTCTGTGTCATTAAAGGAATGGTTCGGAGTAAAATCAACCTAGGGTCCTTTGCACCATGACCTCAAGCCAAACACCCCACCAGAAGCCTTTTTTCCCTTGGTCGAACATTATTAAAGTTAGAGCTTATTTAGAGATATCAGCTGAATGGCTTAGTGCAGGCGCTAAGGGATCCAAGGATGCATCTCGTAAATTACCCCACTAATAATGCCCGGAATGGTACCGAACTTCTACAGTAGTACAAATAGGTTCTGTACTCATAAAACGAGGCATTGGAAAGTTTGAAAGTACATCAGGAGTTTATTTAAATAACACTTGCCTGACGGCTCCGGCTACTGCTAACCTGGACGTCGAGGTCACTTCCGTGATTTGGGAAAAGCACGTAAAAGTCCTGACAGAAAGCGATGCATAAGGATGTAGTGTAACAGGCGCGTCGTTAGACATGGGCATCCGGGGCTTCAGCCCCGGGTGTTTTTTTTATAGCCCCGGATCTCCAAAAATTTAATTTATTGATAATTATTTATTTTTTTTAAATAATTTTGTATTTATTTAAAGGTGCTATCAGCGATTTCAGGTCCAGAAAAGGCCGAAACAAAAATGATCACATTCATCTATTTTTTCCTAACGATCCGCTAGCTGCCCGCCCCATAAGCATGCTGTCCAAAAACCGCGTCTCTGTAGGCAGCCTAGGCTCTGAGATCTGCACACAAAAACAAACAGATAAAACCACCTAAATAAATAGTGTTCCAACCAATCACGGACAGGGGCGGGTGTTGTGAGGTTTTGCGCTCGTGCACAGGTTGGATGCGAAGTCAGAGCAAAACCCGCCCCTGTCCGTGATTGGTAGGAACACTGTTTATTTCGGTTTTGGTGGTGGTTTTATCCGTTTGTTTTTGTGTGCAGGGGCCTCATTTATAAACGTTGTGTACGCACAAAAGAAGGCGTACACCGCTCTCTACGCAATAATTGGTATTTATAAAAAGCAAACTTGTGCGGTCCTTCACGCAAGCTCTGACCCAGGCGTACGCACAAAAACGGGTGAAATGAGAAATGGCGACACCGTCGGCAGATGGAAAAAACACGTGTAAGTGTGTGAAAGTGTAGACCGTTGTGTAAAAGAAATGGCAATACTGCCTCTCATAAATAAAATGAAGACTTCACAAAGCAAGTCTTACAATTAACAGCCTACACGAACACCCGTTTGATTGATCTGCAGTGTAAAACAAACAAAATCAAACAAAGATTACATAACAACAGAAATGCAAATTAACACATATTTGCAAAAAGAAAATTGTTCTGCAATAATATTGGCTTGTTATGCAATTCATCCTCATAACACATCTGTAGCTTGTCAGATGCAATCAAATGGATGGTAATAAAATGTCATGATGCCATCACAATACGTAATGGAGCGCTAGACGCTTTTTTGCATCGACTTTGATGTCCGACTATTTATTTTTTCACGGTCCACGGTTGTGAGGCTGCAGCATTAACGGCGTCTGCAACCTTTTGCCACTCAAGTGCCTTTTTACTATAGTAATGCCCACACTGCATGCCCTCCAAACAACATTTTACTCCTCTTTTCCACCTCGCCAACGATCATTTCTACTTCACATTGAGTGAAGTTACGTTTCTTTGTTTTCCTCTCTGTATTTGCCATGATTTCGCAATCGATGCATATTAAATTGTGGGCGTTTCACGGACTATTTATGGGCAACTATGGGCGTGACATGAAGCCGCAAAAGCTGCGCAACATTTAGAATTGATTGTGATTTATTAAGGGAAAACTGCGTAGGATGTGCGTGCGCATGGTTTTATAAATCCGAATATTTCTGTGCGTACGCACGTCCTATGTTTCATCCGTACGCCACTTCTGACGCAAATCCTACGCAAAGTTTTATAAATGAGGCCCCAGATCTCAGAGCCTAGGCTGCCAACAGAGACGCGGTTTTTGGACAGCCTGCTTATGGGGCGGGCAGCTAGCGGATCGTTAGAAAAGAATTAGATGAATGTGATCATTTATTTTTGGACCTGAGATCGCTGATAGCACCTTTAAAACAATTGACCGGGTCTTTTAACCTGTCCTTCGGAATCATGTATTAAAGACGATTAAAATGTGTTCAAGCAGATCAAAGTTACTATGGTTACTATGGTTACAGCATGCTTGCATTTAGAGTGCGCACCAGAGGAGAGAGAGAGAGAGAGAGAGCCATCGGTTAACTTAAAACTTTAGGGCTTGACTGTCATTGTTGTTTGTGGCTTCTGGTGGTAGCTATTATGGACATTAGACACTTTTTAAAAAGTAAAATAAGGAGTCATGAACGATACGAGGCGGATGAGAGGCAAGAAGAGTTATCTACTGGCGCCGCTCCCTCGGAGAAGGGTCTGGCTGCAGACTTGCACTCTCAGACTTGCACGCTCAGACTTGCACTCTCAGACTTGCACGCTCAGACTTGCACGCTCAGACACGAGCGCTTCCGCTGCAAGTGACGTCACTTGCAGTCGACACCTGCTCTCCGCTACCGGCTGTGGCGTCACTTGCAATCCCTTGTTCTCCGTGTTATTTCACAGAGTCGATTGATGCCAGATTTGAAGATAGCCAGCAAGTGGTGTTTGGATCAATCTAGTGCACTGCATGGTTCTGTTCATTTGCCCAAAGTAGAGTGTATGGAGGAACAAGACGTTGCGGAAGCCATTGAGAGATTAGAGAAGGCTGAGTTTCCACAGGACAGAATCGATGCTCTGGAACCCTTTTGCTTCATCTTTACTGTAATGAATGACATGCAAATGTTTCTTGAACATGCAGTCGATGTCATGAAATTAAAGCTAAACTGTCGAACTACACTAGAGCAAAGTGAATAATGTGCTAATGTGTTTTTATATATGTTGTATATTGTCTATTTGTACCTTGTATTTGTCTGTTTTGCACATTAACTGTGTGTAATAACTGTAAATTGACATTTACAATATAAAGAAAAAAAAAATCATATCTTGATGTTTTTCATCTACAAACTGTTCCCACAAAGTTGGGAGCATGAAATTGTCCAAAATCTCTTGAAAATAATTAAAAAATAATTAAATATATTATAATAGTAAAAATAATTTCTTTCTTTCTCATAACTGAGTTTTGATTTCTAAGTGATCAATTTATGTACAAGTGTTTTCCCACATGATTATTGGCTGTAGGTCATCAGTAAATGTGGTAATTTGGTAATGTGGCATTTAAATGCCAGTGTTTCCCAGATGAAACACAAGAGCTGTTAGTTTTGAATGATGTGTGTAATGTAGAGAAATTTGTTTAGAGTTTTGCGAATAGTTTGTTTTTCAAATGCAAACTGAGTGCAAAGCATATAATGTCCTTGTATTTTTGCAGGCTTGGTCTAAAGATTTGGTACATGAGTGAATGGTTTCACTGAGTGAGCCTCAAATTCCACTTGTAGTGTTTTAGCAATTTGAAAAAAACTGCCAACAAAATGACAAATGACACCTTAACACGACCAAAACGAGCGTGTCTACGCGTTCAAAAGAAACACGTAAAAAATTGCCGCGGACAAACACTGCGTGTTGACGCGGTCAAATTTCACGCGTTTCGTTTATCGCGTTCCGTAGAGAGCAGGCGTCGATTGGAAGTGATGTCACTTGCAGCGGAAGCGCTCGTGTCTGAGAGTGCAAGTGACGTCACTTGCAGAGGAAGCGCTCGTGTCTGAGCGTGCAAGTCCGAGAGTGCAAGTGACGTCACTTGTCTGCAGCCAGATGCTATTGCTCCCTCGTCATTAAAGTCCCTGTAAAGTCAAAATTAAGTATGTGTTCTGAGTTTGTCACACCACAGACAAATGTGTTATTAGTCACCCAGCCAAATTTGAATGATAAAAAAAGCCGGCAAGTACATAAAATAAGCTATCAAATTCTTTAAAAAATTAGCAGTAGTCTCTGCTCTCAGACGCTGGGGGCGTGTCCGCTGGCTGCGCTGAAACCACGCCCACTCGCGGGAAAGCTGCCATCGCCACCACACTCAACTGTCACCGCTACACCCGGAATGGATGCTTAAATAGAGTTACTGTGTGGAATCCGACTACCTATTATAATTATAACATAAGCACACAAGGCAACTTACACTCATTGGTGGGCACGCACTGTCGATGATGGCACCAGTTGTCGGCGCGACGGGAGGATGAAGGCCGAGGCGAGAGAAATTCGGTTCGGCCCCGTTCACCAGTAACAGCGGATTATCAGTGAATCCCAGTTGTCTCCGACAAAAGTTTATAAAACTATCCCGTGTAAAATGATCACTACAGAGGCGGGTTTTGTCGGTGATCCTCAGCTCTCCATCAAGGTGTCTCTTCACAAAATTAATCCACCTCTTCTTGATGTGATCGTTTTTCGGAAATGTAAATAAGGACATTGATCTGTTTACTATAGGTTTAGTAGTACGCATTTCCGTGACGAAGGCATAGCTAGCTAGAAAACAGTAGGGTAGTATCTAATAGACTGACCAGTGTTGCCAACTATTTTCAAAGGAAAGTAGCTAAGGCCTTCCCTAAAAGTCGCTAAATGTCGCTAGATGACGTCATACGTCAATTAGCATATTAATGACGTCATCGCGCCGTACTTGCGTTCTGTCAGCCTAGTGCGTTTTCTCTCTAAATGAATGCTCTATTCAATATAATATAGCCGAATGTCAAATAAAGCTGTTCTCATTTCCTATTTTTGTTGTTGTCAGACAATTGAACGAGTAGCTATAATATAGTGAATGATTACATTTTGTATAGGCCTATGTGGAACATTATCTGAATTGAGAGAGTTAGGGAACCGGATGAACTAAGCTCTGTGATAGTGTTACAAGTAATAAGCACAATAAAATAAATTAAATTTAAATGGTCAAACTAAAAGAGAAGCAGATAAGTGATAAGTCCGTGGAAAAACACTGCTCATTCGCGTCTGTCAGCGGCCGTGCGCTCCTCTCAGCCATTCACTGAACAGGGGAGACGCAGCTAGAGAGAGTGACGACAGGGAGAAAGCAAGACCTCGCGCTCGCAGGACAGTACTGACAACATTTGGAGGTTACTGAGGTTTGTCCAAAAAGTCGCTAAAATTGTCGCTAGTCGCTTTTTTGAAAAAATGTCGCTAAAGGGGTCTGAAAAGTCGCTAAAAATAGCGACAAAGGCGCTAAGTTGGCAACACTGAGACTGACGCGATTGATCGGCAAACTGATGTGAATTTGTTCCAGTGCGTCATCAAGTAGGGGCGTGTCCAGGAGCTCAAGGGCTCCAGTGCGTCATCGAGCCCCCGTTTAGACCGCCCAGAAAATACGGAAAATAGCAATGGTGAAAAACTGTTTAACGGTCTAACTCCACAATTCAGCACTTCAAAGTTCACAGTCTTTGTAATATGTTTTAGGAATACATTTCTAACATTTATAATGCGTTTAGAATTTTTTTTTTAAATTGCCTTTACAGGGACTTTAAGCTCAGTTCGGTGAAGGCTCTTTAGCAAACAAACCCTGGTCTAACTTACCTAGCCCTGTACTCACTGGGGTATTAATGCAAAACATGTGCCTCGAGTCATTCAATAACCCATTATTAAACCACCTCATTCTGAATAAATCAGCCGTTTGAACGAATCGTTTAAATGAATGACTCAATGACTCGCTCATTAAGACGGCGCCTGCCGCCTCCTACTGGCCGTTTAGTGTCAAAGTATCATTCTTTTCAACATTCCTTATTTGTATATATAAAAAAAAATATTCAAAACAATCTCATAATCTCATTTAATACAGATATCATTTTTCAGTGTAAATTATTTAATTTTAATGGTAACAGCCTAGTGTCTTATTATTTTAATTGAATGTATTGATAAAATGTAAGAATTTGAAATGAAATTTAGAGCATACATTAAATAAAATTAGGGGGAAAATGCCCTTTATAAAGGTACAAAAAATTATTCCGATAAGAGTGTTTTCAAAAATTAAACATTGCCAATAAGTTTAAAGGGAGTAAAGCCTCTGTAGGCTATAAGGGAAATGTAATAATTTTGCCAAAAGAAGAACTTTTAATTTAAATAAATTTTAATTTTAAATCAGCCTACTTCAGTGTGATATGTTACCATATTATCATGCTTAATTGTAATGTGATGATCAGATATCTAAATCAAAGAATATGGGTGGTTGGCGGGTGGATTATTATTTATTTTTAACAACAGATTCGAGTGACTCAAAGTGCACCAGATTAATGAATTTATCTTTAAAATGTTCAAAATTTTCTCCCGGGGGGGCATGCCCCCAGACCCCCCTAGTGTTACGATTTGACCACCTCCACCTCATTTTGAGCCAGGAAAAACCCTGTAAAGCATTCTATCTTTTCACCTATTATTTAAAATGCTACAAAAAAATGCACCTGAATGCAGGAAACGAAGTGTTTAATGCCCAACGTTTCCTGGGGGAGGTCCCCCAGACCCCCCATTTATATTATTATTGCTTATTATTATGTGCCTATGAGTAGAAGTAGTTACCAAAAGCGGGGGTGTGTGGGTGGTGGGGTCTGGGCTAAGCCCCCAATGTATCAAGACCCTAGCAACGCCCCTGTAGTGTAACAACGCCCAGTTCCAGGAATGCACTAATATTTTGTTGGTAGTACCAGTTTGCAACAATTATTAGTTAAAACTAAGTTTTCAAGACTTCAGAAAAAATAATAATTCGTCGTTACACTACATCCTCATGCATCGCTTTCTGTCAGGACTTTTACGTGCTTTTCCAAACTCATTGAAGTGACGTCACCGTCAGGTTAGCAGTAGCCGGAGCCGTCATGCAAGTGTTATTTAAATAATCTCCTGATGTACTTACAAACTTTCCAATGCCTCGTTTTATGAGTACAGAACCTATTTGTACTACTGTAGAAGTTTGGTACCATTCTGGGCATTATTAGTGGGGTAATTTACGAGATGCATCCTTGGATCCGTTAGTGCCTGCACTAAGCCATTCGGCTGATAACTCTAAATAAGCTTGAACTTTAATAATGTTCGACCAAGGGAAAAAAAGGCTTCTGGGGGGGTGTTTGGCTCAGGGTCATGGTGCAAAGGACCCTAGGTTGACTTTACTCTGAACCATTCCTTTAATGTTAATAAATAAGAAAAATACAGCTTTGACAAAGATGAATATTTAATTTCTACAGTGAACAAATAGTGTTATTTTACATTTAGACAGCTTGTAGGATAAGTGTGCCGCATGAAGTGAGTAACGAGCACAATCTACAGGTGCTCCCTTGAGAACCAGACCAAAAAAGTTATGTGCACCCTTGGTTATGGGAGTATAACCATGATGATAGTATAACATTTATAGTGGAATAATTATACATTAGGAAAGTAACAAACAAAACAGTACATGCATAACTGAATTAGTGTTCACCTCTAATAGCATGTTATATGTTATGTCACATGCTGACAGCACCATTTTAGTAATTAAATCAAAGCAAGTTAACCTACCCGTGAACACTGTATTCTGTGAAGCAGTCCAGGGTTTTTCCCTGCCTATGGCTTGAGATGCTGATAGACTCCAGGATCACTGTGACCCTACAAAGGACAAGTGACTTGGGAATGGATAGATATCAGATTAAGAAAAAAAAACTTAAAAATATCAGATTTATTTTGGTTGGTGAAGGCAGTTATTGGTTTCTTTCTGATAAAATATTAGGGTTAAATTTATGTTCTTTCCCTTCTCATTTCTCCATTTTTTTATGATTTACTGAAAATTAAACCTTCTTTCATTTTAGACCTGATGGAAGACAACAAGGAGAGTGAAGAACTGAGAGAAGCAAAGGAGAAACATCATCTCAATACTGGTGAAAAATCTTCCAGTCCCTCACAGACTGATAGTAATTTGAGAAAATCTTTCACCTGCCCTCAGTCTGGGAAGAGTTTTACAGAAAATGGAATCTTGAAGAGACACATGATAATCCACACTGGAAAGAAGCCACACACATGTGATCAGTGTGGGAAGAGTTTCACGAAAAAAATAGGCCTTAATGTACACATGAAAATCCACACTGGAAAGAATCTGCACACGTGTGATCAGTGCGGGAAGAGTTTTACGTATCAAGAGAGCCTGAAGAGTCACATGATAATCCACACTGGAGAGAAGCCGTACAAATGTGATCAGTGCGGGAAGAGTTTTGCACATGTAGGCAATTTTAAATCACATGTGCTTTCTCATTCTGGAGAAAGACCATATAACTGTGGTCAATGTGGTAAATCATATTTTTCAGCATCATCCCTGAAGAGCCACCTGAAAATTCATTCAAAGGAAAAGCCTTACATGTGTTCTCTGTGTGGAAAGAGTTTTAGTGAGCTGGGTACTTTAAAAATACACCAGAAAAGACACAGTGGTGTGAAGAATCATGTGTGCTTTGATTGTGGGAAGACCTTTCTTACAGATGCTGAAGTGAAAATGCATCAGAGGATCCACACTGGAGAAAAACCTTACAAGTGTTCACACTGCGACAAGAGATTCAGTCAGTCAGGAATCCTGAAATCACACGAGAGGATTCACACTGGAGAAAAAGTTTTCAAGTGTTCACACTGTGACAAAACTTTCATTCAGTCAGTACATCTGAAATCACACGAGAGGATCCACACTGAAGAAAAACCTTATAAGTGTTCACACTGTGACAAGAAATTCAAATGGCCAGAATCCATGAAAAAACATGAAAGGATCCACACTGGAGAAAAACTTTTCAAGTGTTCACACTGTGACAAAACTTTCATTCAGTCAGTAAACCTGAAGGCCCATGAGAGGATCCACACTGGAGAGAAGCCATACAAGTGTTCTCACTGTGACAAGAGTTTCATTCAGTCAGGATCTCTGAAAAAACATGAGAGGATCCACACTGGAGAGAAGCCATACAAGTGTTCACACTGTGACAAGAGTTTCATTCAGTCAGCACATCTGAAAGCACATGAGAGGATCCATACTGGAGAGAAGCCGTATCACTGCACTCCTCCATGAGGGAAGGGTTTCACTCATTTATCTTCTTTACAACAAGCGACAGGACAACGAAACATCATCTGAAGTTTTTACAGTGAACAGAGTTCATCTTTAAGACAGGCGGTTTCAAGTGATTTCAGATCAACTCAAAAGCTGTCTCCATATTCAGTGGCTGCATCCTTTGAAGGCAGCACTGAGACTAGCTAATAGCTTGTTTTCATATGACGTCACACCACTGCGTTGCCATGGCGCGAAATGCAAATGGAGGGCAGGAAGTGATTTGCTGTATTTAGAAAGCACTATAACAAACTCAAAATGCCTATGTTTTGCGTTGTTTATGGTTACTTAAATCGATCAAACCACGAGGAGTTTTTATCGTGTACCAAAAGTTGTTGTTCATTAAGGGGGAAAATGCAAGAAATTGGCCGAAAAACTCCGGAAAAACGGCTTGCAAACCTACGTCTGCGGTCGGGAGGAGCCGAATGGGAAAATGCCCGTTTGTGGAGTGATCACTTCGTCAATGGTGAGTTAATACAACTTAAGTGGCTATGTTTGTGTAACGTGTAACATTTACGAACTTTGTAAAGTCAAAGTATGTCTGTAAGACGAGGTAGTTGCTGATATCTACCACCTCGATGGCAGGAAAATCTTTCAATTCAGTTGAAAATCGCTCCTCTTCATAACGTAAGGATCACGTCCAACATATGTTTGATTGTTTGTTTACATCTTTCTCTTGTAATAGCGTGTAAAGTAGTACAGTACGGACTTTCCTCCATCTCGTCCATTGCGCTCTTCACTCCCTGCCCTCCATCTGAATTCCGCGCGTAATCATAATCACGTGACTGAAACCCAGCTATGGATGGTATAGCTGATTGCGTCACCATGGCACTACAAAGATTGTCCAAATTCAAAGCATCCTTCAAATGCTGCCTTTGTTTCCCGTGAAATAAAGGATGCAACAGATGGACCCTTCACGGCCTTGCCTACCACAGAATTGATTGTGTGCCTGTGATGAGACATTTTTTTGTTGAGAACATGCCAAATTATACTTTTAAATGTAAGTATTGGGTTTCAATTACTCAAAGAATCCAATGTAATAAAAACAGCAACAAAGGTTCAAATGTTGATTTTTCTTTTTTTATTATTATATACATAAACAGACCAAGGTGATAGTTTTTAAATAGGTTTGCAGCTGCCACAGTTGCTAGGCGACGAGAACAGACCATCCCATTGAACAACTCCCGGAATGCAGTTAGCAACAATTTGTTGATTACAACAATTATAATACATTTTGTTGCTTTCATTTTCCAAATAACAAGTGGTGGAATGTAAAGAAATACATTTACTCTGTATTTAAGTGCGAATTTGAAGTACTTAAAGGGGTCATATAATGGTACATGCACTTTTACAAGTTGATTGCACTGAAATTTGTGTTGGCAGTGCCTGTACACAACGATCATAAAATTATAAAAATCCATCCAGTGTTTTATTTTAAATCTCCTTATATATTTTACCCAAGCGGCAACCTCCCTGTCTCTCTCTTGAAACCAACACAGAAGTGAATTAAACGGCAATTCATCGACTGGCCGCCTGAGGCTGGCTGCAGAAGTGAGTCAAAACTGTATCTCCCCATGTTAAAATGCCTAACTTTACAGCAGAAAAAAACATGTTTACAGCCTGGCTCTCTATGTGGCTTTGGTCTATACAGCTAATTTTGCCCTTCATAACAACTGTGAGGGGGGTGATTTTTTTTATAACTCACCCGTTTAGTTGATTAATATTTAAAGTTCTGCAAAATTAAGGGTGTGTCCACTTTTGAGTGACAGGTGGATTCCCAATGATGTCAATGCTAGCCGGTTGAACTTGCCATCTCTGCCGTTTGTGCTTTTTTTAATACACCGCCGTTGTCGTCGAGTATCGTTCGAGAGAACAACCAGCGCTGTATTCCAGTAGTTCTCCTCTGTGAACATGCACTAATGGATGTCTGACAATTTCGTTGCTTTTTGGAGTTTTCAGATTTAAAAACGTCTATAGATATAAAGGCTCCACTCGTTCTGCGGTGCCATTGCTCTGGAACAGATTATAACATGCTTATGTACCGTCAGATGAAATCCTGCAGGTGTCTGTGTTTATCCGTCCATGCAATAAATGCACATCCTTGAATGAGCGCGGATTTCTAGCGCATTTACTTGAACTTCATAGGTAATATATCTATGTTTTGACCCATTTGAGAATTGAGATGCGGCCAAAATCAGAATTTAAAATGGACTGAATAATAAAGCTCTCTACGAACTTGACGAGCGATGCCGCGCTAACGGACCATAGACTGCAAAAAAGAGTGACTGACATGTATGCACATAATCACGGTCACACACACTCTCAGAGTAATATTGTAAAGTTACTGCATAATACATTTTCAACTAGCAGAATAACTTAGCTGTACAGAATCACGATACACAGTCTCATTTGTAGCTATGTCTTTTAACTATTATAATATTTCGAATGGCAAAAACAGGACCTTTTAATTGGCATTCTGATTTTAATCATCAACTGTCACTTTAGCGCGAGGCCCTGTGCAGTCACAGACTTGGTACTGTGAGTAGCATATTGCATTAGCTTCCAAGCCTGCGCTTAGCGCTAACTCCATAACGTCGCGCTAGGTGGGCGTGGTTTCAGATAGCCAGGCTCCTCAGCGCCGCCTCTTTGCCCATATTCTATTATCCGGGAGTGACGAGCGGTGACGCGAAGCCAAGATGGCAATGGCCGGCTCCGCCCACTTTAGGTTTCAAAAATGCTCTTCAGAAACCTACGGGTGACGTCACGGACACTACGTCCATATTTTTTTACAGTCTATGGTTTTACCCTGTCTCAAATTGAGCTGTTCGATTTTGTGACGTCACAAAATCGACGCCCCTCCCACGATTGTTAATTGACAGCAGCGTTTCAACACAGACCCGCCCTCGCTCGTGAGCCCAGATAGCAATGAGTCGGCGGACCACCGTCGGTTCTCCGGCGGCAGTAGAAGCGTCAGAATGGCGACATCGCAAACACGTTGGACGGCGCACCGCCGGCGCCTTCCTACCGCCTTGGTTAAGCGGCCGGCCCGCGGGCCAACCGCCGTTCCGCCGCGTTTATATTGAAGGCCGTCCTTCCGCGGCCCGCCGGAGGAAAACGCTATTTTCGAGCGCTCTGCCGCCGCTTATTCTGGCTATATATATATATTTTTTTATTTATAGCATGCAGTTTATCAAGAATAATGATTGCTCAAACCAGACAAATTTACAATTGGCATTTTTATTCCACATTTCAAAGTACAGTAACTGTCATTTAAACAAGATGTTTCAGATCACTGAAACACAACAGAAAAATAAATAAATCAATATACTAACATGCAGGTTTCCAATTCAATTTTGGTTAAACAGCCTTACAAGCAAATTACAACACTTACAATAAGTGTTCATTTAAAAAGGACAGCTCTAGGGAAAAAAATTACCAGTAAACATTATGACAAGTAAAGAGGATATTTGATACCAAATAATGTGCAAGATACCAAATAAATAAAAGTATAACTACGTTTACAAGCCATTTCTAACAATATGATAAGTGGTAGTAATTTATAGTAAAGCTCTGGAGTAGAATAGGCCATTATAACGGCAATGCTAACCTGTGGCACAAGGATTTACAAGCTTTATTTGAAAAAGAAAAAAAGAAAGTAATTTCCACAGTGAGTGAGTGTAGTCTGACACTTCTGACTTCTTTAGGGGTCTTGATTCTACTGACTGCAAGATAAAGAAAGGATTCCAGTTGTCAGTGATTCTGGGGTGTCAGTAGTCAGTCTAGTTTTAAGTGGTCGGCTGTGGGTCCCTCTCAGCTGTGCGGCGCCTTTTTCTGCCTTCACGGTCAGATGCTCCTTTCAGGTAACGCGTAACGTTAACCTGGACCGCCTCATCAGTGCATCCTGGGTTGCCGGGTCCTTCCGGATGGCTAATATAGAAAATACAGATATGTCATTTAATTTGAATTGCATGAGGACAATAGGACATACACATCTACTTAAATCTAAAAAAAAATATCCAACTTACTTTGAACAATGGTCTTCAGGAACATGTCTCTAAAACATGCTTTATCCCCTACACCAAGCTGAAAATCCAAAAAAGTGTTACAAATTACATTTCTCTGAAGCTTCTCATAAATAAATAAAAAATGTGAAAGGCTAAGGATTCAGACTGTAATATATGCAGTATACAATCTTAAATTTTACTTTATATCTAGGTCTACTACATGTACAGGTAGCCCCAGTGGGAATTAAACCGACAACCACAGATGCTGTTTGCAAGTTGTACCTAATTGCTCAGTGCAAGCAAACGTCTTCAACATTGTTTGTTGAACTTGCTTCACCTGCTCTTGAAGTAAGATTTTACAATTCGTATTTTTATATGTAATATTGTAGTGTTTATTATAAATGATTTATCTGTGCACTTCATTATTCTTTTAAAATTCATGTAGCCTTATAATCTTTAATCAAATACGTTACCCTTCCCTCCCCCCTCGAAACGACTTCTCTTCTCTTCCGGTCATGTGCTATGGCGCGAGGGCGTGGCAACTCCCCTCAAACCGTGCTATGAGCAGAGATGGAGAAGAGGAGCGCTAGAGTAAAACCCTGCCCTCCGTTCAATATACCGTTTCACTTTTAAATACGTCACAACAATCCATTATTCTGTTTGATGCGGATACACACACCGGTACCCGTTCATTGAATTCAGTGAAGTTTAACAAGAAACTTGTCAGAATATGCAAAATGGACATTTTCACAGGACATTCTAGCATTTACACATAAGGATATAAAAATAAAATGAAAGTTATGCGCCAAGTAACACATCTGTCAAAGCAAGACAGGGCAAGACCCAGTAAACGTCTGACGCACTTACATAAAGCATTCTCATGTTTCGGACAACTTGGTTCGTGTACCATGTATGCAGCAAATCAATCTGTGTCCTCTATTTTCCATAAGCGTTTGGCCTATAAAAATATGTTATTTTAATTGACTGCAGCAATTAAACATTTGTCATTTGATTGATCATTTATTCATTTTATTATATTATAAAAAATTTATAA